GGGGGGACAACCATGACCTGGATGACTGATAATCTTCAAAGACATTTGAGATGGAGTGTGATCTGATGACAGTGGCCAAGGAAGATTTATTACAGTGGGCTCCTTGGTGCTCTCTGAGCTTGGTTATTTTCTTGCACACATTTCATTACCCAAGTAGGTAACATCATCAGTGCTAGAAGGGAGTGGGTTTTAGAGGGAGGAGGATTGTGAAGTCCTTGGTGCTCTCTGAGCTTGGTTATTTTCTTGCAGATGTTTCCTTACCCAACTAGGTAACGTCATCAGTGCTAGAAGAGAGAGGGAGGTTTGCTCTCTGCTTTTAGAATTATTATTTGTCGCTTCACAAACTTGCAGTTAAGGGATTACGGACCAAAAAACCTCCACCAAGTTACACCACAGAGTCCCAAGGTATTACCTACGGCCTTCTTCAGCCATTCGGCGGGAATGTTAAGGAATATCTTCTCCATCAGTTCGGATCTCACCCGAAGAGAGATTTCATAGTCCCCCTCCTCAACAGTCATCACAGCAGGTCTAAATGAAGAAACAGAAAGGAGGGGAAAACTTAGCGGAATTTCAATGAAATGTTTGAGCTTTAAATCATACACTACGAGATACTATCGTCTCCAATACATATTGTTTATTTCAGAGTGCGGATCACGTCATCCCCTTTTCTAATCTTCTGACAGACAGAGTCAGTGGGGAAGTCAGACGTACTTAACAACCATGTTACTAACTTCGCCGCCGCAGCGATTCACTTAATGCCAGCGGCAAGAAAGGCCGTAAAGCGGAAGAAAACAATGGTTTCGCTTAGCAGCAAACACTGCTAAGGGCTGCCCGTGTTCAACTCCCTCTGACTTTGGAAACCCCAAAGGAGCAGGTGCTCTACCCAAACCTGGTTCCAAGGAAGCAAACATGAGACAAAGGTAACAGCACAACCTTTTAATGATTCTTTATGAATCCCGTTCCTTCACGGTTAAAAGGCTGCTTCAAACCAATTAGCTCCAATAAGAAAGAGCCTTGCCAAGTTTTTGCAAGTCTGCCAAGAACAACAGATAAAGTTCCTAAACCATAAATCAAAGAGTCTCAACTCAGATATTCTAACGCCCACCAGGCTCGAGTATCAAACTTCTCTGCCTTCTGCAAAGAACTGCAGGTTCTCAGCTGGCTTTTATCTTCTCAGGGAGGGGCCATTACCTTGCAGCCTTACTCCCGAGTCGCCTGTGCTGCTGCAGCTGCTCTTTCCTTCGAGCAGCCCTGCGCGCATGTCCAGTGGACACAGGCTCCTCGGGATCACTGCTGCCAGCCTGCACAATCCCTGAAGGTAGCACTCCACTCTCTGATGGTCCTGCCTCCATCGGGCTCAATCCCGCAGACTAAACTAAACAGCAGCAAAGTCATGGAACAATAGAATAGCCTTCAACACCCACCCACCCCCAATCCATTCAGAAAGTGAACGTAATTTACTCAAGCCTTGAAGGCCGAGCTATTTTGCTAGACTTTCTTTAAATAATACGCGATGCAACTATTGGGGAAGGTTCGAACTATCAAGGGGAAGCTGCCAGGAAGTTTAGCAGTTTTAGTTTTTCATCTTCTGCCTTTTTTTCCCGTTTACCTGTAGAAGGTTTTGACTTGGTTCAAAGGTAAGCAGGTAGGGCACTGTTTGTAGATCTCGTTGTCATCCGTCTCTCGTTCACGGCCACATTTTGCACACCCCTTGTAGGTGATCAGGGAAAGAGAAGCGAATACGTGCTCCAGGGAAGTATCGGCGTCAAAGACCAGCTGGGACAGGGAAGCATCTGTAAAGCTCAGCTTTGAAACACAGGCCTTCACTTGGATTGTTCCTATGAAAACCACAAGAATGAAACATTTGTTTATATATTTGTCTTGTTAAGTAAGGATGAGAAAGTGTATAGCTATTTAAACACACACATACATAATGTATAACTATATACACAATATATAGTGTATATTTTACTTGTTGAATAAGGATGAGAAAGTGTATAACTATTTATGTAAGGGGAGGAGAATTTATCATTAAAAAATAAATTATTTTCCTTTACAGCATCCAGTCAGGGTGATTTTTTTTAAAAATCTATACATATAAAAGCAAAATACCACTGATGCATCATCACAAAATCTCCAGAACCGTAAAGCCTACAAACTTGAAACTTGGCCCATATGTTCTTCTTGGCTTCTAGGGGCTCGCTAAGAAAGGATTTTTCCAAATCACCATCAGAGCATTAGTAGTTCGTATATTATTATTATTAACACGCTGTGATGCTAAGGAGTTCTACTCCCCCCCCCACACCTGAAAAGAAATCTCTTCCAAATGCAAAACACAAGCAGAGGAGAGGAGTTTCAGTTTCACAGCAGCAAACAGCTTTAGTACAGAGCAGTTGAGCTAAGCTATGCCCAGGCTCCTTGCTGTCTCCTCCTTGCTCACACAGCGAATTCTCTTTCAGTTTGCAAACAGCCCTCAACTCTCTGACACACTGACAGGATGCTAGCCAGATGAATACCAATGGATGCTGGTAGGTAAAGGCAGAATTTTTTTCTCCTTATTTTCCTCCCCCAAACCTAAGCCTGACCACATAGTTGCGTAGCGAAGCACAGGTGTCGAGTTAGTGTTTAATATTAGATGTTTGTGTCATTTCCACCCCTTTTTCTTTACTACACATTTTGTTATTGTTGTTACTGTTGGATATATGGTTTTTTTTCTGTTTTTTCCCTCTGTCTTTCCGGTTGCAGCCCACCACGGTTTGTAGTACAGCGAGGTTTAAGATCAGTGGTGACGGTTTGTCCAAATAGACCCAAAGGACAACCATGCTGGGCTGATGCTCACACATGTTAAGACTTCATTCTTGATCATGCCACGGCTGGGTCAAGTCAAGAGCACAGAGGATGATGTGTTTGACGAGCCATCATATCTCTGCAGTTCCCTGTCGGTTATAAACTTTCTCAAGAGAGTTTTGAGCCTGGTTTTGAGCTGCAATGCTTTTTGTCTCCAAATTCTTTGGAAGTGAAAAGGAAGCAAATTTTGTCCTGTATCTAATCGGGCTGAGCCAAATAAAGTATTCAAATAAAGAATAATGCAGTACTGCAGGCTACTTCTGCTGCCTGCAATTTGGCAGTTCAAGTCCTACTAGTCTCAAGGTTGACTCAGCCTTCCGTCCTTCCGAGGTGACTCAGATTGTTGAGGGCAAGAGACTGTGACCTTGTAAACTGCTTAGAGAGGGCTGGAAAGCACTGTGAAGCAGTATATAAGTCTAAGTGATATTGCTTCCTTCCTTTCCTTCTTTTTCTCCCTTCCTTTTCTCTCCTTCTTTCTCTCCCTCCCTTTTCTCCTTTCTTCCTTCCTTCTCTCCCTCCCTTTTCTTCTTTCTTCCTTTTTTTCCCTCCCCTCCCTCCCTTTTCTCCTTCCTTCCTTCCTTCCTTCCTTCCCTTTCTTCCTGTCATGGTGGTGCAGTGCTTAGAATGAAGTCTTGCAGGTTGAGTCTGCCCACAGCCAGAAGTTCAATTCTTACCGGCTCAAGGTGGACTTAGCCTTCCGTCCTTCCGAAGTGGATAAAATGAAGACCCAGATTGTTGGGGGCAAGAGGCTGACTCTGTAAAACCGCTTAGAGAAGGCTGTAAAAGTACTGTGAAGCGGCATATAAGTCTAAGTGGCTATGGCTATTCAAGAGTTATATTAAGCCACGGGGATGTCTTAATCCTGGAGGAGGAATAAGAATCTCACCTGAACTTTTTTCTTCTAGATGGGAAGCCAGGGTGGTCATCTTCATCAACTCTTGGACCTTCCTTTCAAACTTCCCTCTGAAGGCCTCAGCTCTTTCATCATCATCGAAAAGGCACTCTAGGACCGACCAAGGTGTGGTGTGCAATTCCAGGTCACCAGAGACCGGGTTGTGTTTGACAAAGAGATACTTAAATTCCCAAATATGATCTAGGGAGGAAGAGAAAAGCATTCGGATCAGTGAAGCTTTGGACAAAATACTCCACAGTTTTTTTTTTCCAAAAATAAAATAGCAGATAATAAAGAAGACACCAGCTGCAAAATCTTTTTTTTCCCTCCCTACTTTCCATTCAATCAGGTCTGGCATTTGGAGACAGCCTGAAAGTGCCCCTGTGGTACTCTTGGCAAGGTCTTTCAGAAGTGGTTTTCCATCACTCCTTCCTAGGGCTGAGGAAAATTATCCGGCCCAAGGGACCCCAAGTGGCTTCGTCCCTAAGGCAGGACTAGAACTCACCGTCTCCTGCAGTGGTGAGAGTCATTTTTTTTTACTACCGGTTCTGTGAGCGTGACTTAGTGGGCTGTTGAGGCTGCAACAGTTGTGTAAGTGTGAACAACGTGAGAAAAGACCCTTTTCTCAGTGCCGTCATAACTTTGAACGGCCCTGTCACTAAATGGATTATTGTAAGTTGAGGATTACTTGTACTCACTCGCATTTTCCTATTTGTGACAATACTAACTGAATTATATTTTCAGCATACAGTTTCTACCCAGCTTGGGGCAAACTTCTTTTTTTGTGGGGAATGACAAAAGTGTCAGGGCTCCAACCGATCCACCCCCATTCAAATCGTAAGTCTCTAGCCGCATCTCTCAAGAATAAAAACAAACACTGATTTATTAGAAGTGGCCATATTGGTGTTAGCTGGATGCAGCCGACACTAAAATGCATCATTCCTTTCCCCCTTGACCTGGTCTTCCCCCCTGGAAGTATAATCTCCATAGCCAAGGTTCATCAATCACATTCTCCGGTAATATTCTTGCCCACCACAATTTTGGGCTGCCAGGGTGATTATCTAAGCACTTGAGGAATGCACCGTTCCCCCCCCCCCCCACTCCCTTTCTGCTGGCAGCTAAAAAAACCAAAGGAGTATCTTTTTAGTTGACAGAAACCAGTGGAAGAAGCAACATTACGGCTCCTGGTCCTAATTAAGGGCCTAGACCAGGGATCTCCAAGCTTGGCAACTTTACGACTTGCGGACCTCAACTCCCAGAATTCCTCAATGCTGTCTGGAGAATTCTGGGAGTTGAAGTCCACAAGTCTTAAAGTGGCTAAATTTAGAGACTCCTGCCCCATGTATCTCGATCTTGGCTATATCTTGATCTATAGGCCATGAACCTAAGAATACAGAATCTGTTTCAGTGGGTGGCTGTATAATAAAAGTTAACAAAAGCATGAAATAACAATAGCCGAAATAAAATCCCAGCCATTCGAGTCATTGCTTAAAATTCTGGGCGTTGTTTTTAACATGAATGAACTTTTTCACTGTCTGGGGTGCCTGCCTCTCTCCTTCTTTTGAAGAGTCTGTAGAAGGAAAGCTGACTGATGTTGAAACAAAGGAGGATTGTCTGCATTACTGGCTTCTTGCATGGTAGTGTGATACAGCCATGGGCCTAACAGTATTTGAATGCTTGTTTTACCTTTTTTCCTTTGGAGCTGAAGACACTGGGCTGCTGCATCACCCCAAACGACCAAAGCATAAGGTTGTCCCTTGATTTGTTCCACCGTTAAGATGATTTTATTTTGCTTTTCTCCTTTAAAACTATACGTGGATTCTAAGGTTGAAAAAATGGGAACAAATAAGCATGGTTTACTTCCTTCTGTGATGATGTCACCCGTCCCTCTGTGCTTGTAAGGACTGGGAACTTGGTTTGACGCCACAGTGGTACTTTGGTACTCAATGTTAATTGGTTCTGGGATGCACGAGGGGTACTAAAAACAAGCGCCAAGCAAACCTAGTGATTTACCTTTGTTTTGGCTGGGAAAAACTTTCTGTCTGTCCTTTTTCCTACGTCCTACTACCTACCTTTGCAGCCATCCCCTTCTCTTCCTTTTGCAACACGCCAGGTAACAAAGAAACTATGAGTACCGGGACAATATTTTCACATCAAAAATGTGTCAAGTTCCAAATTAAATGAGTTTTAAAGCAGTTGAATACCAAGATACCGCTGTAATTTTATTCAGAGAACAACAGCATGAAGAATTAGTTTAGATTAATAGGTTTGCAGCTCGCAACCCCTTACCTTACACTCCAAGACGTCACGTTAAATAAAGAAATGCTCTGATTTATGTTTATGTTAAACATAAATACTTTATGTTAAAAAAAAAAAAGATTTCCATGTGGAATTTGAAGGAATGAGATTCAAGGCTTTAATAGGCAGAGGGAAGAGGTAGCTATACTTCTCTTCAATTTCATTAACAGATTCTGTTACATTTAACATAATTAATGTAACAGATGTTACATTTTCAAAACAACCAAATTTCAAAACCAGGATTCCCATGAATGTTTATAATTAGGCTTTCAATCTATTTAACGGGTAACTAATGCTTTTTCTTTAGTATTGAGCCACACTGGCACAGTGGTCATAGTGCAGTATTGCAGGCTACTTCTGCTGACTGCCGGCTACCTGCAATTTGGCAGATCCAATCTCACCAGGCTCAAGGTTGACTCAGCCTCCTTCCCAGGTGGGTAAAATGAGGACCCAGATGGCTGGGGGCAACAGGCTGACTCTGTACACTGTTTAGAAGGGCTGTAAAAGCACTGTGGAGCAGTAAATAAGTCTTAAGTGCTATTGCAATTGCTGTTTAGAAATTGCAGAAAACATGCAGTCTTCTGAGGCTTTCCAGTTAGGACTGAGGAGCAAGCAGTTTACTTATGTTAATATGGAGAGCAAGAGAGGAAAGGTCCAAAAATAATCCATAATTCTGGACAGCCTTTGATTTCACAAAAACAAAACATCTCTCTTTATCTAAGAAGTTAATTATTAATGTTAATAAAGGCTGATGCTAGACACAATTTCTTCATATCGTTAGTATCACATCAACCCCCAGAAAAGGATGTTGTGAAATCAGAAGAATGTCCCTCACAAAGAGCTGGACTCAAGAGTTTGGCTGGTATTTTTTTTAGAGAAGGCATGCAGGAAAAAGGGAGTTACAAAATCTATGAAGCTTCTTGGATGAGAAGTGAAACGTCTTCAAAGAAAAAACACCAAGAAATCCAGTTGCTTCTTGAAAAAACACCTTTGGGACAACCATGACCTGGATGGTTGAGAAGACATACACAATCTATAGTTTTCAGCAATTACATCTCTAATCACTCTGCTAAACAAATAATTCCCCCAACATTGTCCAACTATTGACAAAGTCTGCACTACTATCACTATTAATCTTCTCATCACTCCTTATCGCTCATCCTCTCCCACTTGTGACTGTATGGGTGTAACTTTGTCGCTTGTATCCTTACGATTTATATGGACTGTTTCCTAGTATGATTTGATTGCTTATTGTACCCTATGACTATTGTTAAGTGTTGAACCTGATGATTCTTGACTCTTGATGAATGTATCTTTTCTTTTATGTACACTTAGAGCATTTACACCGAGAAATTTCTTGTGTATCCAATCATACTTGGCCAATAAAGAATTCTAATTCTAATTCTATTCTATTCCTACTCCTATATTTTTATTCCTATATTCTATTCTATTCCTATAATCTAATCTTATTCCTATAGTCCTGTTCTATTCTATTCTATTCTATTCTATTCTATTCTATTCTATTCTATTCTATTCTATTCTATTCTATTCTATTCTATTCTATTCCATTCCATTCCATTCCATTCCATTCCTATAATCTATTCTTATTCCTATATTCTATTCTATTCTATTCTATTCTATTCTATTCTATTCTATTCTATTCTATTCTTATTCCTATATTCTATTCTATTCTCTATTCCCTTCCCTTCCCTCCTATCCTATCCTATCCTATCCTATCCTATCCTATCCTATCCTATCCTATCCTATCCTACTCTACTGTATTCTCTACTCTCTATTCTATTCTAATACACTTTTCCACCGCCATGCCATGCACCAAATTTGGGGCCTTCCAAGAAAGTCTAGGATTAGACATGCAACTCGCCTATCAGCACTGTGATGTTGATGATCCTCACCACCGCATGCACCAAAGTATCTGGTTTGAGCCGATTTAGAAGGACGTGAGGAACAAGGTCCAGGCTCTGACTTTGCCTTGGGGGCAGAGCTTGAAGAGGACCGTGCTTTGCAGAAACGTAGGTCAGCAAATCCTGGAGAAGACGACTGTCCACTATATGGGAGGCTTGGAGAAATAAAGAGATTTTTTTTTTATATGCACGTAATGATATTATCATACATTTCTTATTTAATTACATTCATGACCATTCTAATCAACCTTCTATATCACCGTGATGATGAACCAATGCAAGATTCTTCTGCCTGGAGTTTGTCAGTCCTCACCTTCCTTTGGATTAATAGCTGAACAGCTTCCAAGGTTGACCAGTTTGGTCGTAAAGGTGGATTGCAGCATCATTTCTCCAACCCAACGGTTCTCACAAACGACGACATCTGCAAGAAAAAAGACAAAGGAGATCCATCCATGGAAAATGCATTTTTGCCTTGGTGCCATTTGGTTTAGGGTTGTGCAACTCATTTTGTTCCTCATTGTCAGTGCAGTTCTTGGAATATTTTTATTTCACACTTTTTTAAAAAAAAATATCTGCATTTAAGGCAGAGATCTCAAAAACCTAAGAGAATCTAGAGGGCATCTGAAAGTCAACAGAAAAGTACATGGAATGAGTCTGTTTTAACCAAAGATGTCAAATGTTTTAAGAGGGTTGGGAAATGGCCTCAAAACCATTTACTCCTCCGTTAGAATAGAATAACAAAGTTGGAAGAGGCCTTGGTGGTCTTCTAGACCAACCTTCTACTCGGGCAGGAAACCTTATTTATACTATTTCAGACGAATGGTTGTCCAATCTCTTCTTTAAAATATCCAGTGTTGGAGCATTCACAACTTTTGGAGGTCCACTGATTAATTGTTCTGTCAGGAAATTTCTTCTTAGTTCTAGTTTCTTCTTAGTTCTTTGCTTCTTTCCTTGATTAGTTCCCATCCATTGCTTCTTGTCTTGCCTTCAGGTGCTTTGGAGAATAGCTTGATGCTACTCTCTGTGGCCACCTCTGAGATATTGGAACACTGCTATCATGTCACCCCAAGTCCTTCTTTTCATTAAACTAGACGTACCCTGCCATGCCCCTGGTGGAGACTGACTCTGAGGGAGAGGAGGAACAGCCGACAGGGAGTGGAAGTGTGGCTCCAGAGGTTGTGGAGGAGGCTGGGGAAGGGCAGAGGCTGGCTGGGCAGTCAGAGGAGAACCCAGGCCCATCCTGTTTCCATCCTAGGGCACGCAGGGAGGAGAAGATAAGGGAGAGACATGGTCTACTGGGGAAGAGAGGGCCTTGATCCTCTTCATGGGCTGTGGCTGTGACAACTGGATAAGGGGATGGACATGCGTACAGACGAGTGCTGGAAACAAAGTGTGGAAATATCTCTAGTTTATTGTTCCTCTCTGAGTTTGGTGTCTTTCCCAGTGTGTGTTCTGATATCTGTGGACATCTTCAAGCCCTTATCTTGCCTGGTTTGTGTTGTTTTTTACTGTTTATAATTTAAATGGCATTTCCTCCTTCTTGTACTGTTTGTGTGGGAGTTTTTTGTCTCCAGTCAAGGATATTTGGAGCTTGGAAGCAAAGTGAAGGAATACAAGGGGCTTCACCTGTTTTTTTGTGACTGTGTTTATTTTGTATCCCACCCAATTCCAGCAACTGTTCCTTATGTTTTAGCCTCCAGTCTCCTAATCACCTTTGTTGCTCTTCTCTGCACTCTTTCTCAACATCTCTTTTACATCGTAGTGACCAAAACTGGATGCAGTATTCCAAGTGTGGCCTTACCAAGACTTTATAGAGTGGTATTAATACTTCACGTGATCTCGATTCTATCCCTCCGTTAATGCAGCCTAGAACTGTCTTGGCTTTTTTAGCAGGTGCCCCATTAGATCAATAGCAGACCCTAGTAAAATTAACTATCAATGACATTTTAGGGGCACCCATATCATGACGAAGATTGGATAGGCTGAATTTAGGTAATTCACGTTTTTGAGAATTAGAGAACCGTTCACTCTTTCTCATCCCATAACTCTTAAAAACAGAATCAGGAACTCGTTTTAGCTTAAGAGAGTCAGCCATAAAGCAACAGATTCACATTTCAATAGCATGGCAAATTGTAGGTAAGATTTAAACTGCAACCTTAAAGTGAAACTACGCCCAAGGGAAAAGCTTTTCTCAAATCCTAGTCTGGAAAAATCCTTGAATGGACACAGGGTGAGAAAGAGGAAGAAAAAGGAAGTGACCAAAAAGCTTAATGCTTAAATTTGTCTTAAATTAAGGCAAATTTAAGAGAGCATAAACGAAATGTGGGACAGCTTCTGTGGAAGAAAAAACATTACAATGTAATTCCACAGATGTTTCATGGATTTCCATATAGCGACAGGCATATATCTCATTTTGGTCCCTGTTTTCTGTGCAGTTCTGGGATTATTTTTATTTTGCAGTTTTTAAAAAAATATGCACTTATGGAAGAAGTCTCAAAAATATAAAGATATTAGTAGACCTCTGCAAGTCAACAGAAACATACATGGATTGGGTCTGTTTGTACGATCTCAGTTCTGGGCATAATCATGTATCCATCAATACAACAATAATGAGGACGCCATTTTCCAGGGGCTGGATAATCCCATCTTCTAAAAATATTGACAACACTGACCTCACAATGGAAGAGCAGTGTCAACCCAAACATTTCCAGATCATATTTAAAATTTATGGCTTGGGTATTGTTTAAACAGCATAGTAATTGTGAAAACTAAGCATATATAAATATCCCTCTTACAATTGGATATGTGTTTTACGGACTCACCTGTGAAGAGTACGATATCTCCAGGAAAGATGGTAAGTGATAAAAAAGCTGCTGCTCTCCACAACACAACCTTCTGTCTCACGTCTGACTGATCGGCAACAACAACTGTGGCTAAGGGGACTTTGCAGGATGCGTTAGTTCCCATCTTGATTTCTTTGATATGGCAAGGATGTAGCACTACAACCAAGACAGAGAACTTCCGGCCTTTCTCAACACAATCCTTAAGCAATGACAGCTTCTTCTGAGCTTTCTCAATTCCTGGGATCCTTGTTTTTTCAGTTATTTTAACCGGGTGAAGAGGAGAGCATGCTAATTTGATTCTTTTGGGTAGCTGCTGATCTCCAAAAGTAAAGTGGGAAGTCGTCGCGTTATCATCAGATGCTTGAGTTCTTTCAGCATGGTGGTCTTCTGGAGAACATAGTTGTCTTTTCTGTTGGGGTTTAAGGTCCCATCCTTTGTTATTAACAGGTGAAGATTCAGGACTACATTTTTTGAAATTTGAGTTATCTTGACCTGAGTTATCTGAATCAAAGAGTTCTATGGAACAATCAGAGTTGGCTTCAGAGTTTGTGTCAACTTTCTTAACAGCCATCTTAACACCTTCATTTGATTTAAGTAGAGGTTCTCCATCTGTTGTGTCTTCCCTACAGGGCAGGGCCAATTCTACTCCTTCCCCTGCTATAGGTTTATTTTCCATTTCATTCTGTCCTACGGCATACTGTCCAGAACAGAGAGCCACTTGGCTTAAAGTCAGAACGCTAAGGAATTCATTATCGGTCGATAGGTCAAGATTTGAAGGTCCATCCGGCAGGTTTCCAGGTTTCGACTCATCTGCTTTTTCTGAACATGTTTTCAGATAGTGACTCAGGAGTAGATTTTTACCCTGAGGTTCACACTGAAGGGAGGGTAGATTGTGATTATCTACCACACAATTTTTTAAGTCCTTCACCTCAAGAAGCAAGGGAGAATTATCAAGATGGTTATTTATGATACAACTAGCATTTCCTTCAGTATAATCCTTTTTGCTTTGTTGACATACACAGTGCCTTTTCTGGTTCCCTCTGCTTATATCACTGTCAGGTGACTCACCCGGGACCTTCTTTTTATGGCTGAAGGACTTGACACATCCAACTGATGTTGCTCCATCGGTCATAAAGGCATCAACCAAGCCACCTCTTTTTTCAAAGTTTACTGGGAAGTGATCTTTGGAATTGACAAATAAAACAGCATCATTTGCACTCTCATGCTCAAGAGCGCTGAAGTTTGCGCTACAAAGGTTAAAACTGTCATTGGTAAATGAAAGGTGTAATTCTCTCCATGGTTTCTCATTAACCAAAGAACTATTCTCTTCTTTGAGGTTGCTTGGAGCAGTTGAAAGAATGGGTGCACCGAAGAACATGTGAATTTGAGGTCTCCTGGACATTTTGTTTTCCTTGCAGGATTTGGATTATGGGAAACATGTATAATGTGTTCTACACAACAGTTCGTTTTGTAAATAGTGCCTAAAACATAATCTTTACTCATTCATAGCTTTTCAAACAATTCATTCACAGATTTTTATGATCTGTCATAAAATACTCAAGAAACAAATTCCATCCAGGGAGTTTTGGGGAAATGCACAATAATAATAAATATTCATAAAAATATTCAAAATTGATTTCATCAACAGATTAAAAACACTGAATTTATAGTCCTCTTGGAGTTCGCATTCTGTGTATTTAAAAATTCATTTTATGTTATACTTTATATTTTGAAAATCTCAGAGCATAAGAGTGAACAATGGTCATTCTACCATTTTATTCTTTAATTTACTGTCAAAAGCTCCTCCTAAAACCTTGATCCCTATCAGTATAGGCAAAGAAAAAGGTGACATTTTTCCAAAGTATACACAAAACATTGTTGTTTTTAAAAATGATAAAATAGCCAACATTGTTCAATAACATGAAATGAACAAGTCAAAGATGAAAATTTCCAAATTAGATTTCTCTGTCGAAGTGGGATCGACCATTTTTCACCTTCCTGGAATCTTCAAGATTTGTGTTACATTACAAAGTGCAAAAAGTTGATTTCTTGCATCAGCAATTTTTGAATATTATGGCAAAATATACTTTGGTAAAGCTTGGGAGTCAGGAATCCAACATCTCTGGCAGGAATCTCAGAAGTTTTGCTCTATTGCAAAGAACTGAAAAACATACAAAAATTCTATTCAGCATTTTGATAACAATCTCCAGTTGTCTTCTAAAATAGGAGTTCAGTAGCATACACTAATCCAGTGAGCTCCTATGCTAAAAATTGCACGTATGCCAGCACGCACTCATGTGCCAGCACCCAGAATGCAATGCGTTCCCCCCCCTTACCTGCACTGTAGCTGACAGCTGATTTTTCGGCCTCCCAAAGGCTTGGAAAAAGCCTCTGCAAGGCTTTTCAGGCCAAATTATAGGCCCGTTTCTGGTATTACAGGAAGTGATGAAATGGGCCTATAATTGGTCCTGAAAAGCCTTGCAGAGGCCTTTTCCAAGCCTCTGAGAGGCAAAAAAAAAAGGCCTCAAATCAACCGAAAAAAAATCAGCTGTGAGGCACGTGCATGCGCAGTGAGGTAAGTTTGCCTGAGGCTCCCGTGCCAGCACAAATGGCTCTGTGTGCCACTTATGGCACGTGTGCCAGAGGTTCGCCATCACGGCACTAATCTCTTCCCCAATATAGGCAAAAATGTTGAATGTTGATGCTTATCTGACCATTAGAGGTCACCATGTCTTCAGAAATCTCCATGAGATGTGCATGCATATTTTTTTTACACTTACTCCAGTTGTGCTGTTGCAGAAAATTACAGCATCATCCAACCATAATGAAGAACTTGATCACTTACCTCCAGTTTCAAGAGTTAAATAATTTAAAGCACTAAGATATAAATCCTTTTAAGGTAATTTGAATCATAATCGCTATTTCAAGCAAAATGTCCTGAACTTTGGACATCGGAAACACGTTTTTTTTTCATTCTGCTTTTGTAAGCAGCATTTATAAAATATTAAAAGTAAAAAAAAAAAATGGGGGAAAAGATTTCCAGAAATATTTTATGTTCACACTACCTGATTGCATACAAATAAAAACAATGTTTAAGGATTTCCAATAGGCCTCTCTTAAAACTGCTTATAGTCATTAATTAAATGCAGGCGAAAAAGATGAAGAGAGCAATGCTGGGAACTTTGTGTTGTTTGCATGGGAAAACCTTAGAGCCAACTTACACTATTTCTGTAACCATTTAAATTTTGGTAAAATATAGTCTTGTTATAAGAAATGGCCAGGAGTCTTTGCTGGATGACTGAGTGGGATGGTTGACAATTGATATCTAGACCCAAAGGTGCTTTTCCAAAAAAAAAAAAAAAATGAACTTTCTTGTTTTTTTTCCTTGAAAATCTTTCACTTCTCATTCAAGAAGCTTCTTCCATTCTGAACTGAATTTTGGATGAGAAGTGAAACGTTTTCAAGGAAGAAAAAAAAACCCAAGTAAGTCTAGTTGCCTTTTTATTGCACCTTTGGGTCAACCATGACCTGGATGATGGAAAATGTCCATAGACACTGAAACCTAGAATATTTTATCACTACAGTATACAGGAAGTATTGTAATAAGCTAGAAGAGGTAAGAATAGAAGGTGACCTATAGAAACCTACAGCTCCCACCAAACACCACCTGATGGCAACACTGGTCAGTTATAAGCCACCTCCAACAAAATTCTGAAAACTATGCAATCTATCCTGTTTCTGTTTATTTTATTGAGATTATCATTTTAATACAAATGAAAATAAAGGTAGTAGGAAAGTAGGGAATGGGAAGAAAGGGAAAAGAAAGGTGTAGGATAATGGGGAAGAAAAAAAAAAGATATTGACTTCCAATGTTTTTCAGTGCAATAAAGTACAGTATGAAATCACTACAAACATTTGTAGATTAACGAAACCAAATAAACCAAGGATGGAATTAATAGATGAGAATTCGAGGATCAAGTAAAAGAAAAAATAATTGAGAAACTCTTTAAGTTCAATGAAGGATAGTTTGAGCTAACAATTTTTAATGCTTAATTGTTTAAATAAAATTTGTAGGAGTTAAGTCGGTTTGATTGAGCTCCAACATGTATATTCTGTATTATAATTCTAGGAAAATTCCACAAACAGTTGTGTATCAGCAGTAGTCAAGCACAGATTAAAGGTTATGCTATGTTTAACAAGAGAGATGATGAAATTTTAGGTACTGACCTACTATCAGCAAGATGGAATTTACTCTCTGTGGGGAGAGTTCAAAAGTAAAAAAGGAATAACAAAAGTAAACATCTCAGGGAAAAAAAATAAATGAAATTCCATTCCATCCTTGTTCGTAGATAAATTATATGTACTAGTAAAAGGGGGATATTTTACTTTAGACTGCTGTTTTGGGTGAATACTGATTATATTCCAGATAGCATTTATCTCTGATCCATCTGAAGAAACAGGATGACTGAGTCCAAAGAGCAGTTGTTACTGTAGTTTTGGACTTCTACACGAAGAACATCATAATTTGAAATTTTCTATTCATAGATTTGAGGGCGGGGGATCAAATACAATATCTTAAACTTAGCACAAATTTGTCCCTGGACAGATCATCACAAAGCCAAGAATAATGTTGAATAATGACTGCAGTATTACCGATAACTCTAATAATGACCATCTAAATGTGCCCCCTTCTGTTTAGGACATTTATTAGAAAGAAAAGAAGGGATGAAAGAAAGTAGGGTTTTGGTCCAGTGTCCAGCTCTGCAATTTCCAAACAGCTTTGAAGATCCTGAGAGTTAAAGTCAAGTTTGGGATGATATCATTCACCAGCATTTCTTTCTTGAATTTTAATTATGGCCTGGACCTGCTCAAGAGGAACATCCATCCAAAGCTTAACGTCACTAAAGTTGATTGTCATTTTATTTTATTTTTTGTTCATAAGTGGAGCAGCCAGAAGCTCAGAAACACAAATAATTGAACTCCCTCACAAATTTAAACTATTCCAATTATTTATATCCCCACTATTCCAAAGACAGGCCTCTTGAAGCTGGCTTACAAGTACCATCAATAGATATAAATAATATTACAAATAAAAAAACGTGACCACCATTTTCTCTCGAAAATGGTGGTCATGGAGTCCCCAAAGCCCAGTCTATGGACCGGCACTGGGTCGTAGCATGCCAGAAACTGGGCCGTGCAAACAAGTGAAATCCCATCTGCGGGATGCAGGCAGCACACAAAACCACGCCCCGTCCGGTCCACGGAAAAATCTCTCTCCACGGAACCGATCCCTGGTGCTCAAAAGGTTGAGGAACGTTGCCCTAAAACAGGGGTCTCCAACCATGGCAACTTTAAGCCTTGGCAGACTTCAACTCCCAGAATTCCCCAGCAAGCTGGCTGGGGAATTCTGGGAGTTGAAATCTGCCAAGGCTTAAAGTTGCCATGGTTGGAGACCCCTGCCCTAGGAAGACACAGATGCCAGACCAAGTGAAGCCATTCTGAACTTAAACTTCCCTTCTCCTGGTTTAAAAAAATCAGAATTTTGAAAGAATGTAATTTATTGCTATCCCTCCAAATTTCCTTTGATAAACAGCTCTCCCAACAACTGGGTGACTTTCACTCCACATGTAAACATGGCCCGCAACTTCTCAAGAATCTGAAATCAACCTCGTTCTTTGATAAGGATCATGCTTCAAGTTCTATGGAAGGCCTCAGTATCTCTTTTAAGTTCGTAAAGTTGACGGTGGAGCAGAATATATGCTCAAACTCTACTCCCAATAAACTGGAGGAGGAGGAGAAGGAGCAGGAGGAGGAGGATTGCTGAAGTATACTTTTGCTTTGCAAACAGCAGACAAACCAGAACAATGTTGGGTGAATCAGGCCAAGAGAGGCCAAAATTGGGGTCCTTAAAGCCAGACTAGGTGACGAAGAACAGGGAGAAATTAGGAGGGATTTGTTCCCATTGCAACAGGATGCGAAACTAGAGTCACCAGTCTACCCAAATCTCTTCTACCATATGCAGTTCACCAACTGCATAATGATCAAAATCAGTACTATGATTTCTGACTCTTCTAAGGTGAAGCCTAAACTCATTGTTAAGCCTACTTCAGTAGGCTTAACAATAAGTTTAGTCTTTCAAAGGAAGGTGGGGAACAATTGTACGCCCCAGCCCTACCTGGCCTCCAGCTCCCAATCATGTCTGGCTAAAAAGAAAAGGTGGCCTCTAACCTGGTTTGATCACTATGCTTAGGAAGCCTCCATCCTCCAGGGGAGGGCTTGACGGCTTTGCTGCGGTGAGCCAACAAGGACAAGGGTTGTGCAGGCACGCTGCTGCAGCACTGGTCAAACAATTTGCTCAAGTTCTTTGATAAAATCAACCGAAAGAAATCTGGATAATTGCAGCTATGAGAGGCCTAACCTGGGTTTCTTCACATACATCCTTGTTGGTCATTTCATCCCTGGACAGGAATTATTTGCCTAGTTACTTCTATAGACCACACGTACATACATGTAGCCTTGGAGAAAGATAGTCTGAAGGTCAAAGTAGATATGCAACTGAGAGTAGCCAGAGGAGGCCACGTTTCATACAAAGGGATGACCAGTACACAGGATCCACCACCATTAACCTGAAAGCCCAGTTCCCTTCTGGGGGATTTTACTGATTATCTAATTAACTAATATCCTGGCTTTCTACTCAGGTCTAATCTGGCAGGATTGATTTAATGGACCCCAAAAGTATTCTTGACAATGAATATGCCATATAGCGTGCCTGGCGAAAGTTATTGTTATTATTAAAGGAATGTTTTACCAATAGCCAAGACGAGATATTTGGGGTGTGTGTGTGTAATGACATTTGAGGCACCACCCTGTTGGTTTTGGCATTGTTCAGTTCCTTGTGAATTTGTGTCTATGTCTGTGGAATCTTGGGACTTGCCTATTATTATTATCATCATCATCATGTCATCATATCATCATCTCTTATTTTTTCTTCTTCCTACTTCCTCCGCTGGTTTTAATTGCCAGTTTAGGCCAGGAGTCCCCAAACTTTGCAACTCTGAAGTCCACAAAGTTGCCAAGTTTGGAGACCTTTGGTTTAGCCTACAGCCTTGGCATGTCTTGGTGTGGGTGTGAGTGGGTGTCTTATTAATTCTGATTAAATCT